GCAGGAGATAAAAAAAAAAGGCAAAGTCGATTTCTAATAAGCATGATAATCAAACAGACGGTTTTTATGGTTTCGGAAATGATAAAATTGAAGGTACCAATTCCTGAATATGTTTTTAGAAGTACCTGATGGGTTAATTATAAATATCGATTTAATTTTAGATGATCGGATGCGCACCTTGTCAAGGTGGGACAGATTTCAGATCACAGAGAGCCCAAGCAATGACGAATCCTCAGATGTACGGGAGGACAAGAAGAAAGTGATAATCTTGAAGAACCTCCGGGAGGGCCAATAGAGACAGAAACCCTTTCAATGGTTCCGGAGAAGCATCCAGATGAGCATGCGGAGTCAGAGACATCATACGACTTATCTCAATCAGGTTTATCTGAGGAAAAGGAGAATCTGTTCAACAAAGCATTTTTCTTGCCGCAACAACACCCAAGCTGCCAAAAGCTGCACGTAAGCGTCCCCGTCCACCGGCTGTTGCTACAAGTGAAGAATATAAAGAATGGTATGCAAAAATGGAATCGGAAAAACAGAAGGAAGAACAGATTCGAGGAGAGAAGAAAAAGGCTAGAGAGGCCAAAAAATCTGCAGCTCTAAGGGGCCGTCAAGAGTCTAAACCTAAAGCTGCTCCGAAAAAAATTAATGGCCCTTGTTAAGTTTTTTTTTTGCGATATGTATATTACAAAAAGTTGAATAAGCAGTAATTATTTGTATAATTCACATCATTTTGTTCAGTGCATCAAATAAAGAACACTTTGAGTCGATCAAGGCACATTGTGAAATCAGTGCGCCAAAATCAAGAACATAGGAACATTGTTGATAAATCTGTGTCTACGACATGGTCTTAATCTGTTCCTGAAAGGCCAAACTCATTAAATAAATAATATAATGTTATATACCCACTACGCATATAACAATACATTCAACAATCGATCATTATGGATTGAATTTATAACATTTTTATAGTGCGTCTAATAAGGAACATTTTGCGTCAAATTAGGAACATAGGAAAATGAGTGCGTCATTATTAGGCACACGACGAACGATATCAAAAGTAATTTTTTCCCAACAGTTTTTAACAAGTCAAGTTTTATATTTGTCTCCTATTCTTAGAAGTTGCAAATAGTGGCAGGTAAAATTTCAAATAAATTAATCGTGTGTTGATTTTTTAAATCTACATTGAATATGATATTTCCTTACTTGCGTCAAATATGGTGCCTTCACGGTAATCTCTTTGGCGTCGAAATTAACGTTGTTTGCAGCATACCATTCTAGTACCTCCTTAGAGTAGTGGCAGTTGGCTAGATCCGACCAAAACATAACGTTGGTCTTGTGTTGCCGAATGAAGGGTAAAATCCGTTTTTTCAGACACTATTTAATGTAAACCTTCGACGTCATTGGGTGAGATGTGATGAAAACCTTGGTTTTAAGGCCACAGCTGCAGATTCCTTGCCAAATCATAAGTTTCCGAGCAAACTTATCAGCAAAAACAAATTTATACCTGGTAGGGACATCCCCACGACCAGTTGCCAGGTAAAATTTTCGTCCGGGGATTTGTTTATAATCCATTTTGACATATGTTTCGTCATCCATTAAAATACAGCCATCAAATTTCGTCAAAACTCGTTCGTGTACTAATCGTGCTCGCTTTTTGGTCACTAAATTTTGTTACAGGGAGCGATTCGGATGTTTACTGGCACAACAAGACTTATATCCTTCTTTTGAAAGGATGTTACGCACGGTGGAAAAGTTGGAATCGTATTTTATTACCAAATCACGTATGGAGACACCTGGGTTGCTTTTCACGTACCTCAACACCTTTCTCCTCAGCTCTTTGTTCCTAGTTCCACTTTTATGATAGATGAACTGTGCTCTATCCACACTCAGAGTATCCTTGTAACGTTTGATTAGAAGACTCACCGTTGACTTTGGGAATTTTAACACTTTTGCTATTTTTAAGGCAGACCACGAAGGGATGTTTGTGCACAATTAATTTTCTTTTCTCAAGTTGCATGATCCGTAATTTTGGGATGCGTCGATCAATCGAGAAAAACTTTTCACCAATTTCTTCGTCAATGAAACATCAACAAATGCCTGTCAAACGTTTTTTGTTATGACCACCAGGGGCGCGGTGGTGTATTAAACCGTGTGTCCAGATTTACTTTGAATCGAGCTCTAAATTTCTTCTCATCAGAAAAGACCACCTGAAAGAATGAACTGAATTAACATTTTTTTAATTCTGAATTATAAAACGGTTACATACTTTACTCTACAAATGTTGTCTCGTGCAAATTGAAGAAGAGCTTCTTTATGACGAGGCAAAAGCCGTGGAGCTTGCTTCAGATTTTGTCGCTGTATGTAAGAAGAGCCTTACAATGTTCAGTAGACTGTCGAACGTGAAACATATAGTGATAGTTCTACCTTTATCTGATTCAAGCTCTTTAGTGAGTTGCTTGCAGCTTGAACTATTCTGCGTTGCGTCCTTTCAGATAGCTTTTTATTAGGTCCTCCTTTTTTATGTCCACCATATCCTTCAGGATCTCTCAAAAAATTGCTGATAACGTGATGTGATCTGCTTAAACGACGCGCAATTTCACGAATACTAACATCACATTCGCGATAAACCAAAATTTTACCTTTCTCTTGTTCCGACAAAATACGTTCCACGCGGCATTCTAGAGCTTACACAAACGCGTCACAACACGATCATTGTTGAAAGAAAACTGGACTGCAACTGAAGCGAATGACTTTACATAAATTGGTTCTATAGTTGTGAAATAGTAAATTGCACCCATTTCAAGCTGAACATTGCATTAGGTTCTAAGTAACATTGACAGATTCTCTTCACCGACTTTCTCTTTGTATTCCCACGGCCATGTAAAGACATTATTTTCAGCACACAGATCGACAGGTATTTTCAGCACACAGATCGATAAAAGAAGCTTTTATCTAGCATCTAATACGACAAATACAACAAGAAACGGTTATGTGGTCAAGTTATTAACGAAAGAGAAAGTCGACGAAGAGAATTGTTACTTAGGACCTAATGCAATATTCAGCTTGATTTGTCTTTTTTTTCTATTCACAAATCATGTTTATAGATTCATATGTATTGAGGTGAACGTTAGCTCTCACACACGGCCATCATGTGCTTATGAATAAAGTAAACAAATACACTATCAAAAAAATGTGCGCATTTTTTCAGTGGATCTTTTGTTATGAAACGGAGTGTATGTGTATTTCTGGGATCGGGGTGACGTGTTAGAAACGGAAATCCACTTATTAAACAGGTTTTAAAAATGGCGTCAGACATGGATTTCTGGTTCCTACACGTCACTCCGGTTAAAAAAATAGTCATATTGTGGGGTATTTTACAGTATTCCCCAGTTTCACAAAATCAAAAAAAAAACCTTTTTATTTCGTAAGAAAAAACCTCGTTATTTGAGATTTACTTCGAAAAAGGGTTCAGTGTACTCAGAAAAATCAATATGCATTACTTTTCTGCATTTCTCGATGAATATTTCAAATGGTCCTATCTGCCTTGATCGATTCTCTTCATCGACTTTCTCTTTTTATAACCACTGCTATGCAAACAGATTTCGCGCTAATGTTACAACATAGTTTGATAAAGGAGATTCTTATCTAGCATCCAAAACGTCAAATACAATAGGGAAAGGTTTTGCAGCTGAGTTATTAACGGAAGAGAAAGTCGATGAAGAAAATCGATCAATGCAAATAGAACCTTTTGAAATGTTTATCTAGATTTGATACCTCATATGTTTGCAAATATTATCGCAAATTTGCATTTGGTAACGTTAAAAAAATCAAACTTCGTTTTTTATTGAATAGGGTAGATGTTCCAGTAATAGTGTTGTACCGGTGGTTGCGGCATAGGGGTTGTGCTGAAATAGTGAGAGAAAAACAGATGAGGTTATTTTTCATCAGTAGCTCTTCTAAAATAAAGCAGATTTGCATATTTAAAACTTATAATTTGACCAAAATCGACGGAAAACAATTAATTTGTTTTTTAACATTTTGACCCCTTTGCCCCTATAGTTGCGTTAGTCTTCCTATAATAGTGGAACCCATAGGAAACAATGCGTTCCACTATTATTGGAGTAAAAGTTAGCAACTATCACTGCTACTGATTACGATGTAATATTTTTCTAGCAAAATAGAGCTTGAAAGCTATAGATTGACATCTAAAAATTGTATGTACATCGTTTATTTATTGTTTAGTAAATAACTTGTCCTAGCTCCTCCACCTTATTATCAAGTAGGATTTTTTTTAGATTTGATCCGGGAAAACTGGATAAAACCGGGAATTTCAAAAAGAAAATTCCCTCCATCCTGTGTTAGAGGCGGGGTTTAGGAAGTAATTTTTGTGTTGAGAATGATCCGAACTGAATCTAAATGATACCTTTCGTTCGACTTTTGTAGTTCTAGGTACTGAATTCTGAAATCTGTGAAAGGGAAATAGCTAATTTTCCACCACAGAATCGCCCCGTTTTCTCATGCATAATAATCGATGAGCGAGAACAAAAAACACGAAATCCAAAAAAAAGCTATCACTCATATTCTTGTTTTCGTTTGAACCGTATTTTCCATTAAAAAAACCTTTTTTTGTATGGATCATACAGTTCGAACGAAAACGAGAATATGGGTGAATATTTAGCCATTTTTTTTTGCTCAAGTGGTACATGAAAGATATACGAGAAATGGTTGGAGGGATTTCTCGCTCAAATGTTCTGATTGCATTCAATTGCAACATTTCGCTAAAAAGAGGTGCCAGCCTATCGATATTTTGTTGCTGAAGTTTGGGATCGCTTCACATGGAAGCACATTACATGGCCCTGACGAAAGCCAGTGAATTGATGTGGAAGTATATTTCGGTCTTGCACGGTTTTAATAAATTTAGAATAATACGAATAAAGATACCTTGTTGGCCCTTGACTACCGCAACTAACCCATCTTCCATTTCGCTCCCCTTCCAGGTCTACGAGTGTGTGATAACGTGGATCCAGTACGACATTTGCATCCGCCAGTCATATCTGGCCGACCTGATGGAACACGTCCGGCTGCCACTGCTCTCACAGGAATACCTTGTGCAACGGGTCGAAAAGGAACAGCTACTGAAGGGCGATCTCCAGTGCAAAGACTTCATCATCGAAGCCCTCAAGTACCATCTGTTGAAGGGGGAGCTGAAGACGACTTTCAAGACGCCACGCACCATTCCGCGGCAACCGGTTGGGCTGCCCAAGGTGCTGCTCGTCATTGGGGGTCAAGCACCGAAGGCGATTCGTTCGGTGGAATGCTATGATCTGCGCGAGGAACGTTGGTATCAGGTCGCAGAAATGCCTACGCGACGTTGCCGCGCCGGGTTGGCCGTTCTCGGCGATAGGGTGTATGCTATTGGTGGTTTTAATGGTTCGTTGCGGGTACGTACGGTAGATGTGTATGATCCGGTTCAGGATCAGTGGACGACCTGTAATAGTATGGAGGCCAGACGATCGACTTTGGGGGTGGCGGTTTTGAATAGTTGCATTTTCGCGGTTGGGGGTTTCGATGGTTCATCGGGATTGAGTTCGGCGGAGATGTTCGATCCGAGGACGCAGGAGTGGCGGTTGATTTCCTCGATGTCGACTAGAAGGAGCTCGGTTGGAGTTGGAGTGGTGTATGGTCTGTTGTATGCCGTTGGAGGGTACGATGGAGCCTCGAGACAGTGCTTGGCATCGGTGGAGAGGTACAGTCCGGCAATGGATACGTGGACTCAAGTTTCGGAAATGACGGACCGTAGGAGCGGAGCCGGAGTGGGAGTTTTGGATAATATTCTGTATGCAGTTGGTGGGCATGATGGGCCATTGGTGAGGAAATCGGTGGAGGCTTATAATTCGGAAACGAATACATGGCACAAGGTTGCAGATATGGCCTTCTGCCGTCGGAATGCTGGAGTTGTCGCTCACAAGGGAATGCTGTTTGTGGTGGGTGGCGATGATGGGACTTCGAATTTGGCATCGGTAGAGGTTTATACACCGGAGACGAACACCTGGCGGTTGTTGCCAGCTTCGATGAGCATCGGGCGCAGCTATGCCGGTGTAGCAATGATAGATAAGCCCATGTGAAGCGAACAGCAGGGCGCTACCGCCGCCACGGCAGCAAGCAGCTCTAGGTATGCGAATTGTTCGATCATTGGTAGTGCAGCAAACAATAGCAACATCAATAACAGCAATAGCCACAATAACAACCAAAACAACGATGATGAGAATAGTCAAGCCGAAGGGCTGAACTCTGAAGCTGGTGCTGTATGCTATAATCAGGCTTCCAATAATAACAATAACAACAATAACAATAATAACAATGCCAATAACATCAACAACAACAACAATAACAATGTACACTACGAAAACATTTACGAGTCAATTGAACAATACGCTGCTGCTGCTGCGAATGCTGGCGTGGCTGCGGTTGCCCCTGCCATTGCTCAAAATCCGCTGGGAGTCATCCCGCAACCTCCTCCTCTTGTGCTTCAAGCCAATCAACAACCCCAACCGGGACCGTCGTTGGCCGGTATGGGACCTCGTAGCAACAATATTCAACCGGGAGTCGCTCCATGTCCACCGCCACCTCCGAGCATGCTACAGATGCAACAACAATATCTTTCGCTCGCCTACCGGAATGAACTGTACGATAGAACTGCCGGATACGATGTGCCCCGTGGTGGAGCTCCACGCAACAACTACTACCAAAATCAACAATCAATGAATTCAGGTCCGCGTTACCAAAACCTTCATCTTGATCTGAATCGACCAAGACATTCCCAGAATAACAGTATGCGAGCTCCGCGACAACGCAGTTTTGACGATACGGAATCTTATCAGTACCATCGATATCAGAATCAAAACTTTGCAAAGTTTGACAACGTCTATGAGAGGGTTCGGGAAGAACCGGCTTACCAAAATACAGGATCATTTGGGGCAGCAGCTGCCGGACCATCCAATCGGGGAGTGTTTGGAAGATTGGATGTTATTGGGCATGGAGTTGGCCGTATCGAGCGACATTTGAGTTCTTCCTGTGGGAATATCGACCATTACAGTCTTGGAGGACACTACGCCGTTCTGGGACACAGCCATCTTGGTACTGTCGGTCATATAAGACTGAATCCCGCTACTAACAATCAACCTAGTGCAACCGGGAAGGATTCGTCATCCGTCAATGTGAAGAGTTTCTTCAGCTGTTTGGGTGGTGAGAATTCACAATCAATGAACAATATCAGCAAGAGTGGAGCTACGGGACAGCCGGGTCCTTCTGGAGGTGCGACCGGTGGTGAAGCAGCTGCTGGTGGTAGTTCAGGAGCAACTGCATCTTCTGGTTCTTCATCAGTGACCGCTAAGGTAACTGGAACAATTCCAAAAATTAAGAGTAAGTCCAAAAAGGAAAGTCAAAGTAATTCTGAGCAGAACGATGGGGAAACCCAGGTAAATCGGATCTCTAAACCATCGCTGCAGTGGCTGTTGGTCAATAAATGGCTTCCCTTGTGGGTTGGTCAAACCCCTCCGGACTACAAGTTTATCGATTTTAACTTCATGTTCTCTCGAAACTGTGATGGGTGTGGAAGTACCACGAATCATCAGGAGCTCATGAGATTGGACGGACAAGCGGAAATGCGTTCGCACGAGTACGGTGACTACATTCCACCGGCTAGAGAGTATCCAACTATGAATGGCAGCTACCCAAGGGTCCTACGGAATACTCCGCAGTTGTCTCGTTTGCGGGAACACGAATACGAAAACGTCCCCGTTGATGCTCCTTCGGGTCGTTTGGATCACGCTGGATCTCGATCGGCATTCAGTCATGTCAATCGAGCTAGGTCGGAAAGTCCAGCTCGATCTGGCACCTCCAGACGTGAGGAACGCAGTGGTGGAGATCCCTTCCGTAATTGGGCCTTCAATTTTGAGGATAATAGCTTCCGGCCGGCCGGAGCGGTTCCACGTCCTCGTGAAATTCGTCGGATTACCGATGGAACTTTCCGTGCTACCGATTTTCTACAGGACAACGAAAGAGCTGGTCCCAGCCGAGAAGTACCGCGAGAATCGCCCAAGACCCCTCCGACCATTGTCGTGAATGAGTCGGCTACTCCTTCGTATTCCCGTGCGAATTCCGCTTCGCCTCCGAAAAGCAAGGAATCTTCCGTATCACCGGTTCAACCAGAGCGAGGTGGAACACCGGCGTCAACTTCATCGGATTCGGAAAATTTCGTTATGGATTCCATTGCCACCGATGCTGGCGGGCCAGCTGAGGATAGTAACGGGGGTGAAGGTTATGGTGGTGGTGGTGACGGTGGTGCTAGTAGTAGTATTCAGTGCATAGAAAACATTGGGGACATGGGAGAAGCTGCTGCAAAAGATAAGGAGGGTGCTTCTTCCCAGGAGACGTCCGAATCGTCCAACTTTGAAGACAATGCTGCCGAATCTTCCGCATCCGATGATGAAAATGCTGATGACAGCAACGTTGACGCAACTTAAACATTTGCACTACCAATCTATCATGAGGCTTCTTCATCTGATCGCTCGGGTTGACAAGTAATTTTACTTACGTTGCCGTATAGCTGCCTGAACGAGGATTTTCTTGTCGTTCAGATTTTCAAGGGATGTCGTAGAACTTGTCATTTATTAGCTGCCAAAAAAGATCGACTAGGAAAGGTTTGGGAGATTCTAGGCAACAATTGCATGCAAAAGTTAGAGAAAGAAGGTATCTTAAACTGTGGCAGTTATATGGTGGCGAACTAACAAACCCATTTTAAAATTTTGTCAACCCTTGCAATTAATTCCAATACTTCCCACATCGTGTAACCTAAATCATTTCCATCCTCCCTTAACACAAGACTACTTTTTGAATCTGTGGCAATTTGTTTAGTCCTTTAGTCTGTTTTATTCCCGCTTGCTCAATATTTATTGATAGATTCTATTTATTCCTAATATATTCGAATTCCTCTTTTATACTGAAGCACTGTTTTCTTTTTTCTACAAGAAACCATATTTTAGATCGAGATTAGAGCATTTATTGGCGCAGAAACTCACTTTCCAACCTTTGATTACAATTATGTTAGAAAGCATTTAGCGGATAGGTTATATAATTGTCAAGACTTAGATTTTAAGGCGTTTACTGCAACCAAGACTCGTTAAATCTTAATAATAATGTCGTCGGAACGAATCGAACAATATCAATGTATTTTCCAGCCAGTTTGTGCAACAATAAACACACAACAACACACATACACATGTTTACCATTAGCGGAGGCCTATCATAAGCACCTACCTACACACACAGAACAAGGCATTTCTTCTTTATTGCGTTCTTCCGTTGAAAGTAGATATCTACACTTTTCTTATACATTCACAAGTTAATCAGAGTACTAAACATGGTTATTAGGAAAGTTAGTCAATTGTCATAAAATTCATAACACAGATAGCACTTACACACTCACAAGCCGCCCGAGAGAGCGTGCGCTAACGAAACAGACAAACACGAAGACATAATATCTACGACACAGATACAGAAACAATGAAGCATAAGTTATAATCAGTACAAAACCCAGTAATGGTGAGACCTATCATGATCGGAAATCTACAATTATTTTACCTTGCGCATCAATCTCAACCAACACTGGACGGCGGTTCAATGAAATATGTACTTTTTTAATTCTCAGATGTAGTAGTAGAGTGACATACACGCATACATACACGTTTATAGGCATATAAAACCGGGGAAAAGTGGCACGGGAATATTTAATCCTTTTAGTCAGTCAGTTAGAAATATTCCAATATTTACGAATCAAACGAATTCATCTGAAAACAAATACAAAAAACGCAAAACACAAGAATAACAAAACATAAAAAAAAACAACGTAACAACATTTGCTGTAGTTCTGGTAGTTGTGAGTCCTATTCATATTAGTCATATACACATACGGCATTGCCCAAGAATGGAACAATGGATTGATAGATGCATTCGGATAAAGCATTCAATAAATGGATTTAACAGTTGATGGCTTGTATCGAGTGAATTTAGTAGTGTTATCACAATCCCTTCCTATGCAAATGTGGGGAATGTATTACCTGGTTGGGATAATAGGATAATGGATCCTCACAACCTCCATACCGCAACTATAGGTACACCACTATTACTGGAACACCTACCCTTAATTTTTTTCAATAGCAAAATCGGTTTGCAGGGGAAATGGCTCTAATTGATATGGATCTTAAAATGCTGTTTTCCATTATTTGTTTGAAAATTGCATCTTGGATGGATAATATTGGTTGCATGTGCTTTGAAATTCGGTATACAAAATTAGGCCGTTCACGAGGCTGTTCTATTTTATATGGAATGTTTCAACTAGAACAGAAACGCGCCCCTCGCAATTTTGAGTTACAGTTTCATTATTCGAACACTATTTTGCACCAGATTCGCAACTGCTCGACTAGTCTGTTTTATTTCTGAGCGGATTCGATACACGAATGGAACTCTGTTTCAACTATCTTTGGATGAATTTTTTAGATGTTTCTCGTAAATGTTCAGAGAACTTCGTAGAAGTTGAGAAGATTTAAAGGACATTTTGTAATTTTACAGAATTTTTGGGAACTTAGGAGAAGTTTGGGGATATTTCATAGAATTTCGGAGAGCTAATAATAACTGGTGAACTTCATTGAGAACAGTAAACTTTATGGAACTTGTATTTTTTAATGTTTCAGGGATTATTGAAGTTCAGATAATTTAATAGAAGTGAGAGATATTTCATTTCTCGACTTCCCTGGACATAGAGTATCATTGTGCTTGCCACACAATATACAAACTCATGCATTGGTATTGGCATCGAAAGCTCTCAATTAACAACTGTGGAAGTGCATTCAGAACACTAAGTTGAGAGCACGTAATAAGCTAATATGTGCTAAGCAATAAGCTTGAAATGCGAACAAGAAGAAGAAGAAGAGAGATATTTCATTAAAGATCATATAATATTATAGAAGTTCTGGGAGTTTCATAGTATATTATAGAACTTATGGAGTTTTATGGAAGAGCTTGCGTCTTTTACATCAAACAGATATTGTCTCATATGAAACCAGACTGCTCAAACATTATTCCAACGATCTTAAGGTGTTATTAGATCTCCATGAAGTCCTCTTGATATTTTTTCAAGACTTCAGGTTGATCAGGTATTATTATAAAGATTTTCAACTGCCTGCTAAATAGATGTTATTAGATGGGGTGAGAGGCAATCACGCTTACCACTACACCACCGGCGCTGCTATTCTCTTATGATACCAGATATTATTTCAAAGGCCGTCAGGTGATCAGAGATCTTCATTAAATCCTCTAGATATTTTTTTCATCTTTCAGGTTCAATAGGTACCATTCTGAAGGTGCCCAGCATTTCAAATTGCGTCCATCAGATATTCTCTTATGACATCACGTGACTCATAAATTATTTCAAAGGCCTTCAGGTGATCAGATATCTCCAAAAATTTCTCTGGATTTCAATTTCAATACTTCAGGATGAGAAAATATAATTCTAGAGATCTTTAACTGTTCAACAATGCAAATCTCGTCTCTCAGATTTTCAATCATGACACCAGGATGATCAGAAATTATTTAAAAGGCATCAGGTCATCATTAAACTCTTTGAAATCCGTAGGATATTTTTCAAGACATGGGGTTTATCACGTCTCTTAGATATTCTCTCAAGTCACCTGGTGTCACATAAAATATTCCTAAGATCATCAGGTGATCAGAGATCTTCAAAGCCTTGGATGCTTATCAATACTTCAGGTTAATACAAGCATTATTTTGAAGATCTTCCACTGTCTCAAAATTGAAATCCCGTCTTTCAGATAGGATAGGACGAGAAACTAGGTTACTCCAAAATTATTCCAAAGGCCTTCAGGTGCTCAGGTTGGTTTGTGTGGGTTGCTTATGACTTGCGATGAAAGGGCTTACACAATTTTGTTTGTAAAAGCTGAAATGTCTATTGCAGTTTTGTTCCTTGATTTGTTTTCCGCCGAGCTTGTTTTCCGTGCTGAGCACCAATGCTACCGAGGCCAGGGAGGCAGCTCCCACACCTGGACCCTACCTTTCGACCCATCAACTCATGAACCAGGGACCAACGGCTTTACTTTCCTTCCGAAGGAAGGCGTGATCAGAGATGTTATGCCTCAGAACATCCCAGCGGTGCCGGTTGGGATTGAACCCATGCCTGCTGGGGTGACAGGTAATCACGCTTACCACTACACTACCGCCGCCGCTATACATTGCAGTTGTAGGTCGAGAAAATTGCATTTTATCCTGGGTTAAGTGGTTGAGTTTCTGGTAGTAGACCAGACTGGAATAGATGTACGTTTCGAAAGGTTCTTCGGTGATTCCCGAGTAGAACAGGGAGTAGAAGATATCCTTTCCAAGGAAGTTGCAACCATTCTTGGACAACTCTTACTGTTGATCTAGGCACTTGGATCCAAAGAAGGTGGAACGTACCATCGAAATCTCCAGCTTTACTGTATGGAAGTTAAAGTGCTTTAGCGACTATCACACTCGAAGAAACTGTTCGAGTTCATGATTATATCCGGTGAAATTTTGCAATAGTTGAATGGAAGATCTCCCTGATCGTCAATTAATCTCATACCACCTTTCTGACCGTATAGAGAATTGAAATTGTCGCCAATTTGTGGATGAACAGTTTGTAGGAGATGCTGAAAGGTTGTCGGTATATATCATCCAAATCCAAAGTTCTCCGCCAACCCGAAAGCTTCAAGTTCAATAGTATTCTGACACAGAATTTTACCACAGAATTGGCAGCACCGAATCTTCCACGTTTTCTAAAACTGTGAGTTCACCCTGGTCATCATTTAGAACGCTGGGATGTAGGTTGCTTTCACCTCCGAAGGAAATTTACATTAGCGATTCACGAGTTGCTCACCACCATCTCTCTTCTAGTCGGCCGTTGTCTTATACTTGGTGTCATTGTAAACCACATCACAAGTAGCTTCAATCCCATGTATTTCAGACCCTTTCAGAATCGTCCGGAACCTCTTCTCGTGGTTCGAACTCGTTACTTGACACTGGATTACGCTGTTGTAATCATCTTGTTGCAGGGAACATGTTCTTGAATCAGAATCACTTTTCCCGTTTATGCTAAAATTTTAAAATCACCGTAGCAAACAAACTTTGCACACGCACACATGCGTAGAGATGAATACCAAACATCTTTTAAAAATATCCATAAATTAAATAAAAATTGCAAACAATTTGATAGAGAGACAAAAATTTATATTTTGGTAAGCGTGATTACCTCTCACCCCAGCAGGCCTGGGTTCAATCCCAGTCGGCGCCGCCGGGATGTTCTGAGGCATAACATCTCTGATCACGCCTTCCTTCGGATGGGAAGTTTATTTATTTATTTGTCGTCAATCAGTGTAGACCGTTTTACAATTGTTGTCTTAAGTGCTATTTTTACAATTTTGTCTTTGTTTATATTTTTTATAATATGTCTTAAGAAAAAGTTAAAACATTACTTCTAGTTGACGTTATGCGACGAATTTAAATATTGCTTTAATTTAGTTTTTGTCATTGTAAAGTCAATGTTATCGCAGTGCTTATTATATGTATCCATCATTTGGTTCAAGGGTCCAAATTTGGCATAATTCGTACGATGACGATTTGTAGCAAATATATTTCTATTTCGTAAATGCCTAGATGGTGTATATAAATTTAAGGATGACAATAGTTCTATTGAATCAATTCGATGTGATACGATATCGTTTACGAAAGAAATCATAGCAAATTCACGACGTTCTTTTAATGTTTGGATATTTATGAGCATACACCGAGCTGTGTAAGATGGCAGAGGAAATACAGTCCAACCTAACTTGCGGAGTGCATACAATAGAAACTGCTTTTGAACGGACTCTATTCTTTCTTCGTGTGTGATTAAAAAAGGTGACCAAACTATGCTGCAATATTCTAATATCGATCTTACATAAGCAATGTACAATGTTTTTATCGTATACGGATCGTAAAAGTTATAGCAGAAACGTTTTATGAAACCAAGCATGTTGTTAGCTCTGTTAATAATTGTGTTATAATGATCGGTGAAAGTAAGTTTTGAGTCCAAAATAACACCTAGATCCCTGACTCTATCACATTTTTCTACGATCTGGTTTCCTAAAGTGACTGTTATATCGGGTAGCTTTTGTTTTCTACTAATGGTAATGGAGTTACATTTTTTTATATTTAATTGTAGCAGGCTTTTTTGACACCAAGTATGGAATATTTGAATTTCCTCTTTGAATGTGATGATGTCTTTGGCATCTTTTATTTCCAAAAAAAGTTTAATGTCGTCAGCATATATTAAAACTTTCAATTTCTTAATAATGAAAGATATGTCATTGACGAAGAGAATAAATAAAAGTGGTCCTAAATGGGAGCCTTGAGGAACTCCTGAAGTGACATCAACGGGATTTGATATCTTTCCTTTGTATTTTACTATTTGATGGCGGTCAGTTAAATATGATTCAAGCCACTTGAGGAGTGCGTAATGAATTCCCATTTTTTGAAGTTTAAAAAGAAGCATGGGTATGTCAATTCGATCAAACGCTTTGCTGAAATCTGTATACAACACTTCTACATGGTTTCCGTTATCCATTGCATTCAAGGAATAGTTAATTAATTCGAGCAAATTCGTAGTTGTTGAACGGCCTTTAAAGAAGCCATGTTGCATAGTAGTTATTCTGTTTTTAATTTGAAGAAAGAGTTTTTCATTTACAATCGCCTCGAAAAGTTTCGGAATGCAAGAGATAATAGCTATACCACGATAATTACGTATGTCGGATTTTTTACCCGATTTAAAGATAGGCATTAAAAACGAGTTTTTCCATATTTTAGGGAAGTTTCCGGATTCCAGTGACATATTGAAAATCCAAAATAATGGAGCAGTAAGTTCAATTGCTAAAGTTTTCATAAAAACTGGCGGAACACCGTCAGGGCCAGGACCTTTAGA